CCGGTGAGCGGAGGCCGCAAACCAGGGAGGAATGGAGCTGCGAAAGAACCGCTCTTCGCGTGGTGAGCTCTCGGTGATGCCATAGTCCTTTGTGTATGCGTCTACGAAGGCATATAGCTCGTCCCGAGATAATGGCGAGATGCGGAAACCGGCGCGAGGCGGTGGCTCAGGCGGGGGTCTCCGCATCCAGTCCATCTGACATGCGCGTGTTTTCTCAAATATTGAGAGCCGCGCGCGCAGGCAGAGGACGTGGAGCGGCGGCATATTGGCCTCCAGCAGTGCGGATTCCGGGTCAACAGTGCTCGGAACTCCGCTGACAATGCGTGCCAGAGTTGCGTACGTCTTCTGCATCTCATTCTTCGCTGAATCCGTCGCTACTGCCCATATGAGCTCGCTGCCATAGCGTAATTTGGAAGCACCGTATCCAATGACGAACGTGCGTAGGTCATGTGGAGATGGCCCCGCCTCTTTGTGCGCTATGCAGCGTAGCTGCGATATCCGCTGCGAAGTGGCAGCGCATTGCCTGGCGGCCGCCACATTTAGCGTCAGTCGTGGATCGAGATCCATGCCAAGAAGCTTCGTAGTTCGCGATGCCCCCATGGTCATGACTGGGATTTGACATCCAGCCACTACCAGGGGCCACCTTCCTTCACGATCATAATCCGACTCCGTGTGCGTGGAGAGTGTGGACCAAGCAGCTTCACGCTTTGACGGGTTGATGGCCAGACCATTTTCCTGACTCCACGCATGCAGTTTTTGAAGAACCATGTTGGCAGTGGGAATGGCGTCTTCCCGGGACTGCCCCTTAACGATAATAGAGAGGTCGTCCGCATACATGTCTGCTGTGACACCCGCAAAGCTGTTCAGCAGATTGAGAAGTGGGTGTACGTAAAGGGAGAACAAATACGGTCCCAGCACGGACCCCTGAGGAACTCCTCGCAGCATGGGACGCCGATCGCTGTGTCTGTGGCCAACTCGTGTCTTCGCGTAGCGAACACATCGAAAGTTTCTAAGCCACCTTCTACAATCCACCCCCGGAATATTAGCCAGCAAGCGACTGAGGACTCGATGATCCATGGAGTCAAAAGCCTTGCTGAAATCAACCAGCACCAGCAGGGTCCGATGGGGTCTGTAGTGGAGTTGGTTGCCAATACCGCTCTTCTTGGGAAGGTTCACTTGGAAGTAATGATTTCTATTATGCTCCACTTCGTGTAACAGGTGTGCCAGCTGCACCGTCGTGGTACGCATACTACGATATGCATACTGGTGGGGGTGCGGCGTCCACACCCAAAGCAATCTCTTCAGTACCATTTTCTCAGCAACCTTACTCACGATGGAGGTAAGGCTGATGGGTCGATATGACTCAAGCAGTTCCGGCGACTTACCGGGTTTTAAGAGTGGAACGATGGTAGCGCGTCTCCACTCAACCGGGATCGTACCGGTCGTCCAACTGTGGTTAATGCAACGAAGAAGGAATCGGAGGCCCTTTGACGAAACATGTCGCAGTGCCTCACTGTAGACTTCATCCGGTCCGGGGGCCTTGCCATACGGCGTATTACGTAACGCAGCAAGCAGTTCCGTAAGATTAAAAGGTGCATCAAGAGGGGAGTGAAGATGAGCAACCAAACCAGATGTAGCGGCAGACTCGCTGTTGTTCTGCTGCCCAAAAAGAAAAGAAGCATTGATGTTCAAAGATGCACTCTGTCTGTTGATGCCTTTGGAAAACCTAACTGCCTTGTGAGAGGGGTGAAATGGAAA